ACATCTAAAGATTTATCTGTGTGCAAACACCTTTTTGCATTATATGTAGACAATTGTGTCTGGTACATATTTTTTTTATTTGTGGCACAGACAAAAAATTATCCATTCAAAGGTCATTCTATTCACACAACAAAAATAAATTGTATATACACAAACAATTTGTTTGACGTCTACAAAAAAAGGTATACAAAAGAACATTCCCGTAACTTTTTACAATTCAAATGCTGAACGAATTCTGCCGATTTCGGGATCAATTAGTCAATTTGATATTTTGGACCTTTGGTCCACAGGTATTACGCATTGGATTGTGGGCAAAATTCCTGCGCGCATTATCTCTAGTTCTCTTCTCTAGTGAATAAAATAAATCTTTGACCCCATACTTTATCAGTCGGTTTTAGATTTTTTTTTTTCATTTTAAAAGTAAATGTCAGTAACACAGACAAAAAATTGTTAATAGCACTGATAAAGAAGTTTGTCACGAACAATTTATCTTCCAAATAAAAAAATCATTTACGCATAGACAAAACAGAACGATACATCATACATCATAGACAAAAGGTACTTTTTCCTTGTTTTTTCGTAGCGTTCTAATTTTATTTCCTATTTCCTTTACTAAGTTGGTATTGCTGTATTGTTTATCGGTTATATATTCTATTTTTCTATCATTCATTTTTTTGTGTGTTACTTTCGAGTTGTTTTAAAATAAGTGTCACATTTCCCTTTTGGAAAAAAATACGTGAACCACAACATTTTACTTTATTATACTTAAATATCAAATACTTCGTACAATTTTTGAATTTTCAACCAATTTATTAATAATTATTTTATAGATATATTTTTATTTGTTGTATAAATATGTCAAATCAAATGGATTTTTTTGGGACAGATGGGACGTAACATATTTAATCTGAAATTATTGTTCTTATACTCGCCTGTTTCATAGTAAAACTTTATTTTAGACTCCGTAGTTTATGATGTTTATTTCTCAGATAGCACATGAAATTTTAGAATGATAACAGATACGAATATCATACGGAGTACTAAATATTCAACGGTAATACATAAAAACTTTGAAATATTTTGTATGAGTTCTGATACATAAATTTATACTTTAGATTGAAGGTTGTATAACTTGTGTTAAGATTTTAATTTTTGGCTCTACCATATAAGTTTTTGACTAAATTTAGTTTTGATTTATGATGAATTGGTATGAAAGAACATCTTGAATGTAATGACGTGCACGGTGCACATGTTACATGAGAGATAAAACACTGAAAAACAAACAAATCATTCACATTTTTCTATATTTTTTCACTAAGTTTGGTAACTTTTACACATCAATATCAATCGTAATATATACATTTAGACACTCGTCTTGACCTTATGGATAAAAACTTAGAGCCCGTTTGATAATGTTGAAATCGGTTGAATCGGTTGATTCTGCTTAAATTTATGAGGTTCTGGCTGAAGTGGCTGTATTGGTTGTTTATGCTGATTTATGAAAAAAATTACATTTAGAATATATTATATTAATAAAACAAAGAAAAAATTATACCCCCTCCGTCCCAAATTGTTTTGCAAAGTCAACATTTTTTGGTCAACCAACAATAAAAGTCAATCGTCACTATCGATATTTAATTCCATTTTTAGTACTTAAAATTTACATAGTCTGCAACTACATTAAAATCTCTTCAAAGTTGTATACTCCAAATTAGAATATAATTTAAATTTGACATCCTAATTAAGCGAACAAAATGAAATTGTTTGACTAAGAAAAGTCAAATTTGCAAATCAATTTGGGATGGAGGTAGTATGAAAATAGCTAATATGGTCATCTACAGTAACTTCACCCTTTACAGTCAGAAAAGTAACTACAATCTTACTTTTCTTGTTATAACACAACTCAACATGCTAAATAAAAAATCATGTGTTTGGTTAAAAAGTTGGCTGAAAAGCCTGATAAGCAGAAAAACATAGTCACCAAACGAGCACTTACTGAAAATAAGACACTTCAAATAATGAAAGATATATTACTCCTTAATACTTATGTGTCTATCTGTCTCATGTCAAAGTTGCGTGGTGCTATAAAACCTGTGTGAATTGCACTTCTCTCCTATATATTCATGGGCGGAGCTAGGGGTGGGCCAACCTAGGCCCTGGCCCACCCCAAATTTTAAAAATGGTTTAATTTTTAAGGTAAAAAATTTCGTGCAATTTTTTTTCCTAAAAATATTCTTTGTATCGGCCCAATCTAGTCCTGTGCTTTGACTCCGCCCTGATAATATATTTAAAGTTCTCATACAAGGATGATGGTATGTCAACTCTAATTTAGTCTAGCTAAAATATTAGAGTTTTTTTCCTAAGTAAGGATAAAAAATGAAATATTTACAAAAATAGTGTTGGATTGATAATATTTACCAAGATACTGCTATTCTAAACTATAGTTAGGAGGATCCATTCCTACGCTGCTACGCATGAGAGGGGGAACGAAGCATCAGAAATGGTTAAGTGGGGCCCAAGTAAAAAAAAATCCTCTTTTTACTTTAAACTGCTATAATTTTTATTTTTTTGCTCCAAATTTCAAAAAAAATATATTAATTTTCATAACTTTTTACGATCTTTCATATGACACCAATGATATATACATTAAATTTAAAAAAAAATCAATTTCATAACTATTTTTTTGTTTATTCAAATGAAACAAAATACTTGAAAGATGTGAACATAATAATTATGAGATCTTAATTTAACAGGTGGATCTATTTAAGAAAATATTTGAACCTAAAAAATATTCTAATTTGGTCACCCTAACTTTCAAAAACTATTTTTATAAAACATATCACCCGTTTTTAGTTTCAGATATTGTTTTAAATAGACCCAACTGCTAAATTAAGATGTCATTATTATGTAATTAAGATGTCGTTAATATGTTTACATCTTTAAGGTATTTTCTTTAATTTGAAGTAACAAAAAAATCATTGTGAAATTTTACTTTTCAAATATTTACATCTTCCATATCTTTTTTCATTAATCTGGTATTTGTAATCATTTTATGTCAATAAACCTGATTTTAAACTAGATTATATCAAAGATGTAAATATCTAAAAAATAACATTTCATAAATTCTTTTGTTGCTCCGGATGAAAAGATATCTAAAAGATGTACAAGTAATTGTTAAATCTTTACTATATCATTTGGATTTATTTATAAAATGTTAAGTCTGAAAAACTCTACCCAACCTTCTTATTTTTGTAAAAAAAATACTCCATATTGGTTTAGAATTAGATTTATTGATACACATTGTTGCAACTTGCCTTTTAACTCCATATGATCTTCTACTTTTTTTTTAAATTTATGTATACAATATTGGTGTCATATGAAAGATAATAAAAAATTATAAAAGTTGATATATTTTTTATAAATATTGGAGCAAAATATAAAAATTATAGTAATTTAAAGTAAAAGGAGTTTTTTTAAAACATTTGGGCCCACTTAACCATCTCTCCTGCGCATTTGCTTCGTTGAAGTCATTCCTCTTCCCAGAGCATTTAACGTATTCTCTTGACCATGGTTTAAAAGAGCAGTACTTTTGTAAATATTTTTGACCCAACACTAGTTAAGTAAATAATTATTTTTTCAGCATTAATAAGGAGAGAAACTCAAAATATTAGGAGTATTAGGGTTTAGAATAAGAAAGTAAAAAAAGCCAAATAGACTTTACTCCGTATTTTTACAACGTTGAACCTGTCATTGTTAGGGTGTCGGTATTCTTCCGTTAGTTTCTGGTAGGCACAAGTCGTTTGATTAAGTGACTTAAAAAAGATAAAACGATGTCGCAGCGGCCCATATGGATACGGATCATGCCAACTATTCTCAGCCCAAATGATAAAATTGAAACTCGGAAACGAGCGATCAGGGCCGAGAGAGTGAGAAAATCCAGACTATCAGGCCCTCTGCTCCGGCGAGATTGATTTCAGCAGCTTCGGCGAGTAGGCGACAATAAAGTGAGGAATAGTTGTCGCTTTATTGACTAATAAGACGACCCAACAAGGCTAATTACTTCCTTGTAATTAAATCTTACGGTGTGTTAATTAAACTTCCTTGTTTTTATTATTTAGTTGTTTAGGACTCAGGTTGCTGTTAATTGACTTCATTTTTTGTTTTAGGCTTTTAGTTATTTAATTTCAGGTTTTAAAGTTTCACAACTACGTCATGATTTTCATTCATAAAAACTACTACCCCCGTCCCACTAAGATTGAGAAATAAGAAGGTGACACGATTATTAAGAAAAATGAGTTTGTGTGATTGATATTAAATTGATAAAGTAAGAATAAAGTAAGAAAGGCTTAGAGTCACACAATCTTTACCAAATTTGGTATGAGACAATCTTAGTGCGACTTCCCGAAAAGGTAAAATGAGACAATCTTAGCGGGACGGAGGGAGTAGTTAATGATTTATATTGTGTTACTCCTCTTTAATTTCACAACTATTGTTTTAGGAGTACTTGTTTAGTTGTTTAAATAACTTGACAAGTTCTCTCAAAAAATTGATAAATAAAAAAGACTAATATCGAGTAATACATTGTAATTAATATACTACGTATGTATTTTCATTTATGCGGTATTTGAGACTCTTTCGACTTTAGCCGCCCTTCAAAAATGGTTCTGGTTACGCCCCTGGAGAGGGGTATGTGTTCCACAAAATACTCTCTTTGTCTCAATTTGTTTTGCAAAGTCAACATTTTTAGATCAACCGATAATAAAAGCCAATCTTCTTTATGGATGATTAATTAATTCAATTTTTGATATTTAAAATTTACATATTCATAAACAAATTAAAATCTCCTCACAGTTATAAATTCCAAATTATAATGTAATTAAAAATTAAGATGCTATTTAAGTGAACAAAACGTAACTATTTAATTAAGAAAAGTCGAAAATAAATTTGGGATTGAGGTAGCATTAGACAGGACCGTGCCCACCCAGCCAAATTTATTTATATGGACAGTGGACACACGTAGACGATGACGCTATGGTGTATCATCGCTGACATGCTCTCTGCTTTTTCTGCCTTGAAAAGGCGACCAGTTTCCGCCATTCTAAGATGATTTTGTTCAAATTTTAGTTTCTTCCTTCTTCTAATCTCTCTATCTCTTTTGATCCCTCTTTGCACACACTTCAAGTCATGGAGGCTGACGGTTTTTCAACGACAACAGCGGAGGCCACGCAACTGGTGAGGCTTCGCTGCTCAGTTAAGAACTACGATTGGGGTCAAATCGGACGGGAATCCTGCGTGGCGCGGCTCTACTCTCGCAACACTGGGGAGGAGGTCCGGGAGGACATTCCGTATGCTGAGTTGTGGATGGGGACGCACGACTCCGGTCCTGCTTATGTGGTTGCAGCCGCTGACAGTGGACGTAACAATGGCGGTGTGAAAGAGGAGAAGTTCTCGTTGACTCTGAAGGACTGGATTCAACGGAACCCTACTCTTGCCGGCGAGAAGGTGGTTCAGACTTGGGGTCCTGATCTTCCGTTTCTTTTCAAGGTTCGTCCTCGCCGCCTTAATTATTTTCAGTTTAATTAAGTGCAGGAGCGTTTTCGATTTTTTTAGTGGTTTCAGTACTTCGAATTAAATATTGAATTTGAAGTTATGTTTTACAAGTATTAAATTGAACAGTAACTCGCAATTAATTAATAACTAATTATACATTTAATAATATGTTGGGTTTAAACTTCAAGTTTTCTTAAAGTTCGTCACTTCCTTGAGATCTATTCACTTTTTGGACCCAGAGCTCCGCTATTTATATGATTGCATTAATTTATTGGCTTTATTTGGGTTTCAGGTGCTTTCTGTTGCGAAAGCTTTGTCGATTCAGGCTCATCCTGATAAAGATTTGGCTGCTCGGTTGCACAAGGAGCAGCCGGAGGTGTATAAGGATGCTAATCACAAGCCCGAGATGGCTTTGGCACTCACAGAATTTGAAGCTTTATGTGGGTTCGTTAGCTTTGAGGTACTTTGAATTGCCTTCGTTTTTGAGTTGTTCTTCCTCTTTACTGAGATGATCTTCATTCCCAATTCCTTTTCTTGGTGCATAGTAAATTTAAATTGCATTTTCAATAGGTTTAATTGTTGTTGGATGAGACCTGATAATGTTATTGCAGTAAATTGTACTGTATTTTATATTAGTTAGCTAAACAGAGGAAGTTATGATATTACTTAATCTGTCCCTATAGGCCTATATTACAATCATGCTTCCATTTTGGGTGTGCATGTAGTCTTTTTTCTTACTTGTTAGCTTAAAATCATTGAGCCTGTTTTGGGATGATTTATGAAACTGACAGAAGTTTTTTCCGTGATCTCAAGAGCAATATGTTGTGACAAAAACTTTTTCCGAGATCTCGAGAGTGATGTGCTCGTCAAAAGCTTTTTCCGAGATCTCGAGAACTATATGTTGCGGCAAAGTTTTTTCCGAGATTTTGCGAGCATGATGATGCAACGAAATCGTTGTCTGAAATTTTGAAAGCAATATATTGTGGTTTTTATTTAATAAAAATAATATACTAAAATGGGAAAAACTGTCTTAGACGCTGTTTTCGGATATCTCGAGAGTGATATGTTCAACAAAAGCTTTTTCGGAGATCTCGAGAACTATATGTTGTAGCAAAGCTTTTTCCGAGATTTCGCGAGTATTATGCTGCAACGAACAGTTTTTATTTAATAAAAATAGTATACTAAAGTGGGAAAAAGTGTCATTTATGCTGTTTTCCGAGATCTCGAGAACGATATGTTGCGACAAAGCTTTTTCCGAGATTTCGCGAGTACTATGCTGCAACGAACGGTTTTTATTTAATAAAAATAGTATACTAAAGTGGAAAAAAGTGTCATTTATGCTGTTTTCTGAGATCTTGAGAACGATATGTTGCGACAAAGCTTTTTCCGAGATTTCGCGAGCATTATGCTGCAATGAATGGTTTTTATTTAATAAAAATAGTAAACTAAAGTGGAAAAAGGTGTCATTTATGCTGTTTTCCAAGATCTCGAGAGTGATATGTTCGACAAAAGCTTTTTCCGAGATCTTGAGAATGATATGTTGCGACAAAGCTTTTTCCAAGTTTTCGCGAGCATTATGCTGCAACAAAAGTGTTGTCTAAACTTCCGAAAGCAAAATGTTGTTGTTTTTATATAATAAAAATAATATGCTAAAATGGGAAAAAGTGTCCTTTACTCTGCTAGCAATTTTCTCAATAACACAAAGACACTGAATTCGTGCTCTAATTATATAGTAGTCATACTTAAATGTGTTTCTTAAGTCATCCCAAACGGGTACTTAATTTGCTTCATTTCCCTCCTCAAATATCCCCACCTTGCACAACTGACAACTAAATACTCAAAAGTCAAAACCAAATATGAGGAGGGCAAACATGGAAGTGAAAAACAAAAAAGAACTAGTTAAAACTTTGTGCAAGGAAGGTGTTACAGGAGGTAAACTGTTCAGATATGCACTAAGCATGGATCCATATGTGGGAAACTGTGTTATCTTCATGCTTTTTATTTTTGTTCTGAAAAGGAATAGATTCCCACCTTCCATAGTAAATATTAATATGATTCATATGCATATGTAAATAATTTATGTAAAATCTACCTTGATAAAAAGAACAAGCTTAAAAGTGAATGCCTGGATGAATTTGGTAATTCATAGGGATTCCTACTTTTGTGAAATTATAAAAGGATACAAGGGTGATTTTAAGGGTTCATTAGGAACTTTGGAATTGCTAGGAAAAGAGAACAGGAAAGAGATTGTGATAGAGTTGAAAGGAAAAATGATGTTAATATATTTTGACATGAAAGAAAAAGCGAAGAAAAATCGAACATTGTTTTATATTTTTTCAACCTTATTTTATATGTCTATCGCCCTTATATGAATAAGATTAGGAAATCTGTAACATATGTTATAACTGTAAAAACAGCTGCCATGTTTCATGTTCCTTTGCAGCTTCTATGGTAAAACTAAACCTAAGAAAATAACTCTCTTACGACCCGTTTTCTGTTTCTCTAGTTTTCTTTAACTAAACACAATTTGAAACTACTTTGATTTGTTCTTTCCAGGAGCTCAAACTTGTAGTCCAAACTGTACCTGAGATTGGGGAAATTGTTGGGAGTGGGCATGTAGAGGAGGTGCTACATGAAAGTGCACACGAAGTGGGTGAGAGAGCAAAACCAATTCTTCAGTCATTATTTACAACTCTTATGTCAGCTAGCAGTGATGTCATTTCGCAAGCTCTAACCAAACTCATAAGCCGGTTGAATGTTAAAAATGAGGTAACATCAACTCTGTGCTTCATTTTTACACATGTATATTTTTTATTTTTTATTATTTAAACAGGACCCATCATTTCTTTGTATCATCATCTATGTTGCTTAGCAAATGCATCACTTTCTAGGGACTCGAGTTCTTTTTAACTATGCATTCTTTTAAAATCTCTTGAGCCATATACTTAAGCTTGTAAATCGGTTTAGTTTGGTAATCTTTTTCCCAAACTGTGTTAATCTGAACCAAATCAAAACCTATTAAAACCAAACCAAATAAAAAAACACAAAAGCCCATACACAAAACCCATCAACTGATTCATATGCTGTTTTATTACAGGAAAGAGAGCTAACTGACAAAGAACAGCTAATCTTGAGACTTGAAAAGCAATATCCAAGTGATGTTGGAGTTATAGCAGCGTTCTTGTTTAATCATGTGAAACTTAGTCCTGGTGAAGCTTTGTATTTGGGTGCAAATGAGCCTCATGCATACCTGTTTGGTGAGTGCATTGAATGTATGGCAACTTCCGACAACGTTGTGCGTGCTGGCCTCACACCAAAGGACCGTGATGTCAAGACCCTTTGTGCCATGCTCACATACAATCAGGTAAAGATAAATAATTCAAAATTGATTCTTCAGCCTTATTAAATAAAGGTCTTGATTTGTTGTTGACATGTAGTGTATAATAAGTATGAAAGTGTGATAAGAAAAGGTTAACCTCACAGAAGAAAGAGTAGTTCATGTCCTTTAATGTAAGTCAGTATCTTTGAATTTTGCTGATGTAGAAAGACATTAACTTGTTTACAAAATTGGGGATCATGGGAGCACATCAATTGTGAACTTTATTTGCACCTTTTGAATTTTAATTGGATCGTTCATTTGAGCTGCATGCTTCTTATACCATATATTAAGATTTCTCTATCATCTTGATAATTAAGATCTGGATGTAATTAGACACTTCCAGCATTTAACACGCTTAGGTACATTAAGAAATTCGTAACAAGTAACACATTATAAGTCCACAAAATTCAGCTCAAATCATATCAAACATTTGAATTCATGATACGTTTTGTGCTGTTCTTTAGACGCTGCTTCTCAAGAGCTTTCCACCAATTGTAGATTCTACAATATGTACATTTAAAGCTGTCTAACCCTTTATCTGGTCTGGGTTTTCTTGGTGAAGGTGTTCCCAAAAATCCTAAAAGGAGATGCTTTGAGTCATTATACAAAGAGATACAGCCCTCCCTTTGATGAGTTTGAGGTAGACCACTGCATTCTCCCTCGACTAGTAACCACAGTTTTCCCGGCAGCTCCTGGCCCGTCTATTTTTCTGGTTTTTGCTGGAGAAGGAACAATGACCACAAGGTCATCCAACGAGGCAATCGCAGAAGGAGATGTTCTGTTTGCCCCTGCAAACACAAATGTCACTGTCTCAACCACCACTACTGGTCTAAGTGTGTTTAGAGCTGGAGTGAAGTCATCTTTCTAAATACAAGAATGATAAAAGTCGTGTGAAAAATAGTCCTTGTTTATACTACATGTTATCAGTGTGAGGGTTTGTTTGTAATATATTTATGCAGTGATGAGGAATAACATACATACCCCACTTTTGTATAGTGTCATTATAATGATAGTGATGTAGTAATATACAAGAACAATAGCAAGGTGGAACTACGAATTTCCTTTTGCCGAAAAAAAGATAGTAGGAATGTAGGATACGGATGTCTTTCAAAGCGAAAGCATTACATATCATAGGCGGGATTACTAGAAGAAATCTATACATTATCGTATATATTAAGTGAGTTAAGTGATGTTCCCGCTCATGCGCAGGGACACTGTTGTAACTTGTAACTACGTCTAATTTTTACTAATCGTCGCTCGAATGCCTGGGAACCTGCTCTGCTCGCTTTCTTCTTACGCTTTTTTATCTCTTATCTCTTATCTTTTCAAAACTGATAAACCTCTTCTTGATCTCTTCCACTTCCTACTCATTTTGGAAGATTATTTTCAAAAAAATTGGGACAAACTATTCAATTTCGCCGACAACTTTGGGCTTGCTTCCACTCAACTGACTCAAGGCTTGGGGAGTCCATCTTGGTTAGTATTTTACCTGAATTCTAACTCTTTATACTTCGTATTTATATAGATGTCACATGCACTCTCAATCTGAATTCCCCCCCTTGATTTCGTCTAAAATCCTAGAATTAGACGAAGTCGTACACAGGTGGATTCTCATTGAGAGGAGGTACAACTCTTATTATTTCCTTATTATGTAGCGTAGTTCTTCTCTCTGCACACTGTATACTTCCTCATTATTGAATGTATTTAAAGAAACTAAAATTTTAAAACTGATTAGTTCTATCATCTGTACGAGAAAGAAAAATACATAGATAATAGAATACTTTGTTTCAGAATACCAAGCCAACCCATTCTTTAACATTTGAACTAAGTAGCACGGGAAACGGGAAACGTGAAACGGGAAACGGGAAACGCGAGAAACGTAATTTCTAAAAAATATAGGACACGAAACGTGGGGGAAACGCGTAAATATTATAAAATATAAGGATATACTATCCTCCGTTTCTTTTTAATCGCAACATGTTGAATTTTACACTATTCACGTGTTCTACTTTGACTACATTTTACAGTATTATTTTACGATTTTTTTAAAAGATATTGTTCAATTCATCTTATTACAAATTTTCAAAATCTGATTTTTAATTATTTTTAACAAATAGAGATTAAGATATAATTACGGTCAAAGATGTGCGTTGGCAAGTGTGAAACGTTGACCGTTGCAACTAAAAAAGAATGGAGGAAGTATTTATAAATATTTTTTAATATATGTACACAAGTTTTTCCATATGCACATGTTTTTTTAATATAATTTGTTTAGTAACCAAATAATAAAATCAATCTACATGTTCGAATTTAGATATTATTTCATATTAGTACATAATTAAACATAAAATGTATGGAGTAATACATTTCTAGCAATACATTGCGTTACGAAATGTAACAAGTGTTGCCGCTGAGAAATTCCACAAAAATTCACTATAAAAAATTATTTTCCACCACAGAATCTTTTGAAAAAGAAAAAAAATTGGAATCCGAGGTTTCCGAAACGTAGTGAAACGGGTTTCCAAATTTTTCTTAATTATGGAAACGGCCCCGAAACGGGAATTTGAAGTTTCCGAGTTTCCGAAACGTGGAAACGTGAGCCATGGAGAGTTTCCATGCTTCCTAGCATTTGAATTATTGATCTCCTTATTATTTTCTTTTATGAATATTAGCCTATAAGATCAGACTAAACATAATTTGCAGTCTAAGTGAAGACGATGGCATAATGTGTTCAACTGTTTGTAGACGATGAATAATTTTTCTTTTCCAAAACATGCATTGAATGATTTAACGACTCTTGACTCAAGCTCTACGTTTCTGCTGCAATTTGCACCCTAGCTTTTATCAGTTAAAAAACACTTTGTTTATGGCTAATCATCATTGCCACTCTGATTTTCAGATACTTTGTTTATGGCTAATCATCCTTCTAAGCATGATTTTCACTTAACATGGCCTATTCTTGGTTTAATATCCTGTTTAATGTCAATATGAGTCTGATTCATAAACTTAATATCTTACATCCTAACTCATTTTGATTCCTATTCAGTATGCATATGTTTAAATATGTCTCATACAGAACCAAGCTTTTCAAGTATTTTGATTTAAACTCCATGCTAAAAATACAGGAGGCAAGATTTCTTAACATATTTCAAATGTTTTGTTTATGGCTAATCATCATTCTAACACTGATTTTCAAATACTTTGTGCATGGCTAATCACCGTTCTAAGTCTGTGTTTCACTTAACATTGCCTATTCTTGGTTAATTATCATGTTTAATGTCAAAATAAGTCTGATTCGGCAACTTATAATGACTCTATAAGGTTGTAATTATATTAATGACCCTGTAATTTGGTTATCTTTTCTTCTACTATGACTCTATGAGAGTACCCTAACTCATATACCAGCCTGTTTTCTTTTTTTGACAAACTGATATACCAACCTGTTTTTTTCTTTTTTTTTTGACAAACTTTGGGAAATAATAGGGCCTGCCGCTTTGTTTTTTTTTTTTTTTGAAAAACTTTGACTTGTTGACATTTTTAAATTGTTGATTTCACCTCCCATAATCTCAGTTTTCGCCTTGCCTGATGAAAGTTTCAGCATGCATTTGCATGAGCAACCAATCCCAATGAGTATTCCAATACTCAAAATGTTCCAACTGGAAACGCCAGAGATAACTCAAATACAAGCACAACAGGGGAATCCAAATACTGCCTTATATGGGACTATATAAACCAGATGAAGGAAGGTTGGGACCTCTGCCATATCAAACTATGATTCATGTATATGGGGGTCCTGGTGTCCCACTTATCTGTGATTCATGGGAAACCACAGTGGACATGAGAGCTCAGTTTCTAAGGAGAGGCATCTTAGTTTGGAAGCTCGAGGGTGCAGGGTGGCCTATGCCAATGAATTGTGGGAACGGGGTCTGTTATGGGGTTTATGTGTTGGAACGAAGTGATCCAACTGTAAATGCTGTAGTAATGGTTTCAGATTCTGATATCCATGAGAGCTTCTGGATACACAAAATTCAGACTGAAAATCTTGTCCGTCAGGTGTTGCAGCACCTTAGTCAGTTAAATGAGCATTCAAAGCTTCCTATGTCAAGAAAGGCTACATGGACTGTGTTGAAACTCTGTCCAAGCAAGCCGCTCTGTGATCTCTTGATATACCCAGATCCAAGAATGGCTATTGTGTGCCTGAAAGGGCTAGAGAACATTCTGAAACTAGGTGAGGTGGACAAATAAAAGGGATTGGATGGTGGGTTCAATTTATATGCACAGATGGTTGACGAATATGAAGGACGAGACAGTCTAGACAAGATTGTGAATGTCCAGTTTTTGGACAAAGAGACATATGGAAAGGCTGTGAAAATATTAGATAAGTATAGGGCTGAGGAAGTGATCATGATGAAGGTTCAAATGCTGAAGCTCTTGTTCCAGCTACCGTGAGGTACTGGGAAGGAAGGGGCACGAGGATGAGGATGGCATGGCTGCTCTTACTCCCCACCTTGAGACCAGGTGGTTGTCAAAGGGGGGAAGTGATGATCATAGTTAGTTAAATACGGTACGGGAATGAGAATTAAACGAGGTTTAATACGTACGTGTTTTATTCGGTACACGATTGAAAAAAACGGTCAAAAATTCGTTGAAAAATACGTTGACTTTTAAAAAACGTGTGAATACGTATACGTGTATAATACGGTATATGTTACAAAAATTCGGATAAAAAATACAGTGTATTATTTTGATCATTTAAAGTATATACTTCACAAAATAAGATATATAGTAAAAAGAAATAAAAATATACACATATTCAAGTAGCAAATCTCATTACCACATCAAAGAATAATTCGTAATTGCATAAGTCGATGACAAGAATAAAAATAGTAATTAAGTCCAAGGCATAATTTTGCAAAATAAAGTCTACAAAATGAGACATAATAACCATAGATGAGGCGAAGTTAAAAGGGAAAACTGTCAAATAGGTTCTCGAACTTTCATAAAAAGTCAATTAAGTCCTTCTATAGGAGACTCTGTCCGGTCGTCGCGATTTGGGGCGGTTCCCAGTGGAATTTTTTGATGAAATTTTTTGAGCATCTTATTCATCAAGTCTAGTTTACTCATACCAAATTTCAGCTAAAAATTTAATCGAGAGCGCATTCAAATTAATTCGAGAACGCAAAAATGCGTAGTTATCTTCAAGAATTAATTTGAATGTGTTCTCGATTGAATTTTTAGCTGAAATTTGGTATGAGTAAACTAGACTTGGTGAATAAGATGCTCAAAAAAGTTCATCAAAAAATTCCACCGGGAACTGCCTCAAATCGCGACGACCGGACAAAACCTCCTATAGAAGGACTTAATTGACCTTTTTATGAAAGTTCGAGGACCTATTTGACAGTTCTCCCAAGTTAAAATCATTATCTTTACATGATCATCAAATAATACTGAAGTTAAACTCATCATTTTATCAAGATGATGGATGACATATGAGAAAAATACATTGTACGACTCCTACGCTTATTATTGTTTATGTGTAAAACTGTAAAAGTATACTAAACATATGTCAGGTTTAGAAAAAACATAGTTTTGATATGCTTGATTGGAAAAACATCATAAATCTAGTAGTATATAACGTTTTGGTATTTAATTTTAGGATGTTAGCTTTAGCCGTCATGCAATCAATTTTAGTATCTAATAATTGCATTGTAACCATACAAAAACACGCGGTCACGAGGACGATGTTTTCCTTTTTGCTTTTAAGCTATTGTTGATCTCCTGTGCATTTTATGCACTCATTGAATTGATCAGTTCATGTTTCTATTTTTTGTAAAAATACGGAAAAAATACGTTTTATACGGAAAGTAAGAGTTTTTTTCCTTTTTAAACGGACCGACATTATTTTTTCGTTTTAAACGTGTTTTTTTGTTCAAAAAAACGGTACGTGTTTAAAACGCGTTTTAAACGGAAAAAAGCTAACTAGGGTGATGATAGAGACCTGGACTTATGGGCTTATGGAGTGAGATATAATAGAAATAATACTGAGTATTTTAATAAAATGTAATAGAAATGTAATAGTGGGCTGCCCATTAGAAATAGAATAAATGAGAGTGGTGAGGATATGGGTAGGCAGAAATTGGATCTGGAATTAGGCTTGGGAGTGTGAGACGACTCGAACTGTCTCTATCTTATCGGTTCTTCTCTTTCTTGTATTTCTTGATGATAATTCTCATCAATAAACTACTAATTCTGTTGCGTTGGTTGAGGTAT